CTCTAGCAGAGCTATCGAATGCACACAGTCGCAATTTTCGGGTTCGATTTTAAGGATCCTCCCGAGCCATTGTATGACCGTCGCTATAGGATAACTCTGCGCTGTCAAGAGGTGGTTTAAACAAAAAAAGTGATTTTGTACGGTGCGAGATTTGCATTGCCGACCGACAGTGCTCCCACCAAAACATCGTGTTTGTGCACAAGGTTGCACATTCCTTGCACCAGTAAAAGTACATGAGATAGGACGCCGTAAATGAGCAAATCACCACCATGGCTGTCCCACCACCATGGCCAATCACCACCATGGCTGTCCCACCATGGCCAGTGGTGATACCTTGTCGGGGGTGGACAGGATAAAATCGAAATAAAACTTTACGCGTGTGTTCTAATGACAGCTGTCAGCTCTATACGAGGGCTATCGAATGCAAACAGTCGCTATTTTCTAGTTTGATTATAAGCGTTGTTTTTCAGGGCCGCTGTACTGTAGCCCCCACTCTACAGGCAGGCTGGGCGCCGCTAGCTCTGCGCGGTCAAGGGAGGTTTCAATCAAATGTGATGACATGACGATTTCAACAAGCAACGCTATGTTGGCCGATGCGATATTTTCATTCCCGGCCACAGTGCTCCCACAGTGACATCGTTTGCACCAGGTTGCTTTTTTAGCGCATAAGCAAAAGCATTTGAAATTCGGGGCCGTGTCTTTGCAAATAACATTTTCTGTAGGCCCTTAAGCCTTGAGTTGTACGCTGTCAAAGATGATAATGCTTGTGTATGTGGTGGGAGAGTGAATGTTAGGCTTGAGTATTCTACACCATATTGCATATGTGCCCACTGATTGCGCTTTGGCGCAAGGAAGCAACAAACTGGTTGCAAATACACCAATGTCTTTTTATCTTAGAATGCCATAGGTACTATCAACGGAAATGGCGACATGAAAAAAGAAGCGGTATCGTCGAGGCTTTGCGTGGAAATAATACGATATGAAACAGGATGTGCCTGTTATTGAGCGGTGATATACGCAAGCAGATTGAATACACATTAAACAACATTTCCGTTGGTCGTCAACATAATGACAACCTTAGCCGTTATCTATCTTCTTACTAATTGCAATGTTAAACGCGGAGTAGCTGTCTTGTAGAGTAATCTGCGACGAATTTGCTTATCTCTTAAAGCTGTCAAACCCCGTCCGTCCCAACGGCCAGTTGGTTAGAGCGCCTGCCTTCCGATACACCCACCTGTGGTGGGTGGGATCGAGGCGCTCCTGTAGGTGCTCGCTACTTTCCCTTGACAGTTGTGGCCTGCGGCCGGTGACTGCGCCCGCGCCAAAGGTCAGAAGATTAAACTTTCGTCGCCAAATTCTGCTGCTGACATGGATTTCCGCGAGCGGATGGTAGGGGCCAGAGCTTACACGACAAGCAATGCTTGGCGTGAGCTCTGACCTCAGAAATTCATCCATTCAAAAATCCCGAATATATTTTTAAAGGTTCCGCGGTTGAATATGGGCTCAAAGTGGAGCCTGCTTATAAGCCTGATTTGTTTTGATTAAGTATTGGTCCTTGGCCCTTAAGGTGGCACGGGAAGTTGCTCGGGTTTGGTAACATTAGATTAACGGCTTATTAATTAACACTATATAAGTATGCATTGAGATCAATGTTCATATCTTTATACAATTATTTATCCACCTGGTGCCTTATCTTTAAACGGAGATCGGGCGTTGGCAAGGGGCCCACATTGGTCGGTGGTACATTTGCTGAAAAGCAGGAAAGACGGTCCCCGAATATTAGAGCGTCGCTCGCATTGATCAGGGGCCTGTGCAAATAAGGGAGATATGACAAATAGCAATCAAGGGTGCACGATGAGAAAATGAAAAGGCCCTCTATCAGTCAGGTGCCCAGTACTGAATGGTGAGCCGTTCACATCGTTTCAGACAGGGGTCGAATAGATCAAACAGAGGTACCTGTGTCAATAATGGGACCCTCTATACCGATAAGTGGTTACATTTTTCATTTTTGCATCAGGGAAGTTTCGTACGTTGATCCAGGGCTTACCATCCCGGTCAGAGTGCCTGCCGCGTCAGGGAAGGGAACGATATGTGATATCTTCCTCAGACGACCTCCAGATCGACCATGTACCATCGGTCCCGACACGGAGCTGGCGTCAGTATGGCAGCTGGTAGGTACTCCGTGTTGGGACTGAAAAGTCTTTCACCCATCAAGATTCTCTGGTGCCGGAACTGCTCATCCGTTTGTCAGCTTCATTATAGTATACGTGAAATATACAGGCAGGACAAGTCTTCACAATTCCTGAATCGATTTCACAAGCCATCACGAAGTATTTATTTTCGACGCGTGGCTGTTGTCGCACGTCTGTAGCCAGCCATCTGGTGTGAACTGAGGGGCCGATGCGGAGACGGCGACGTGAAACACCGGTGTTTTTGGTTTAAGACTGCGCAAGCATGCTCAAAACTATGTTCTGTACTCTTTCACTAGTCTGCTCTGAGAAAAGAATGAACGCTCCAAGCGAATGTGGGCTGGTCATATCATTCAAAATGTATTGTTCCCAACCGATCTGTTCCGACTCGCAATCCGCGGGTCTCTAGGACAATAATTTCTGCAGAACCCAGGAAGACCGCACAAACTATTGTAAAAAGAATAGTACTGATTGGTAAAATGGTCAGCGATGCAGCCATTTAATACCTGTAACTTCATTCTATTGACTTTTAGATGCAAATAAAATTGCATTGTCTGGTAACTTTTACCTTCCATGTCAACTAATGCAAGCATTTAATGAAAGCTAGAAAACACTGTGTGACCTGACATTGAATGGACGAGTATTACTTGGAGGGGCCTTTTCACCATCTCAATTGTTACATTTAATTCATTGAACGAGCATCCACGTGGTGGCTGTTCTGCGCCTAGTCGCACAAGAGTAACAACACACATACAGTACACAGAGATGTACATATGCGCACAGGTGAAAGCATTTTCAGTCAATGAGCCAGAGATTTGAAACAGTGAAGAATGCCCAGCGCGAGGGGGCGCGGACGGCCGCGGCGGCGGCCGGTTCCACGTGGCGGCGGCGCGGTACGCAAAATGCCGCTGGGTGGCGGTCAGTCGGGCGCGGCAGATGAAGCGAGCCGACGCCACCCGAAACAGCCAGAGTTTGATGTTAGGTAGACTCGGCGCGTGTCACGAATAGAGCACACAGTGCACTGGGGGACTCGGGACGTGCAGTGCCCTGCACGCATTCAGGCAGTCCCGGCGGTGCACGAGAACCGCGACCTACACCAGCCGAGCGCCTCCAGAACGAGCGAAATGTGATCGCTGCGGCGGACACCACTCACCTGCCTGGCTGTGAAGTGCACCACCCTCTGCACCCTGTTTAGTTGACATTCGGCCGCTCCACCCCAGATGAACAGGCAGTACAGGATGGGGGGGGGGGAACGTATATTTCGACAAGGAGCTTCAAAAGATCAGGAGTTAAGTGGGGTCGGAGTTTGAACAGTGATACGAGGATTGCATTACAGCGCCGAACGAGAGAGGAGATGTGGGGTTCCCAGATGAGGTGGTGGTCGAGGAATACACCCTGTACATTAACTGAAGATGATGGATGAATGTTTGTGACGGAGACAGTAATGCGGAAGTTGCCGGCCTTTGTGATAGAAGGTTTGGTGTCGATCAGCATAAAGTGTGTCTTTTTGGGGTTTATTTTAAGGCTATTTGACTGAAAGCAGCTTTAAAGGCACTGAATGGGCTCCTCGACACGGGCATTCAGGTTGGACAGGCTGACGACATCGTTGGTAGCGGAGTCAAGGAGTTAGGTGTCATCGGCGTAAGAAAGCGGGCCGCCGTGGGGTAGGAAGCTGGGCAGGTCGTTGATAAAGATGAGGAACGGGATTGGGCCGGCAAGGGACCCCTGGGCCATCCCGTGGGATAGAGATCAGGTAACCGAGCTACCACTAGCCACTTGCTTCTGACCGCTCAGGTAGTCCCGGAATCATTCCGAGGACAACCCGCACCACTCCAGCTTGCTCAGCAGGACGCCGTAATCAAACCTGTCAAAGGCCTTGCTGAGGTCGTTATCGACTCGACATAGCCGTTGTTGACAGCCCTTGCCAGCCATTCGGTAGCGTCGATTAGCACGTGCTCCGTCAAGTGACGTGGACGGCAAACATTTTGTGATAGCGTCAGTACATGGTTGTCAAGACGGTAAGAAGTGAGCTGCGAGCAGACGACCTTCTCGATAACTTTCGGCAGGACAGAGGGAACAGAAATGGGCCGCAAGTTGTTCAGGTCTGATCGATCTCCCGACTTGGACACGAGGGTGACGCGCGATGTTCCAGGCGGTCAGAAGATTTATCTCAAGTGCGTGATGTGACAGAGTTGATCAGATGCAGGATATGAGGGTCGATTACATGGAAACACTTTTCCACTGCATGGAGTGATGCGCCATCGACGCCGAAGGCCCCCGACGCGCTCATTTTCCTGATGGATGCAGAGAGCTCCAGTTGAGTGGTATGATGCAGAGAGAACACCGAAGCACAGACACAGTACGGGCGCGGTCCAGCCGGGGGCGCACCCGCACCGCCACGCACTGCCGCCGCCTCCACAGCGATCCGGGTCCAACGGCAGCGACGTGGGCATTGGGCGCGGCTGCCCGGGTGCCCATGTCGTGATCGGGTGTGTCGCGCCCACTCGCTGGCTCCAGTCCGCTGCACAGGTACGAGCGTCGCGTGAGGATGATCAGTCCGTTCACTCCGTTACGGCACCGCTGGTACGTCTTGATGCTAAAGAACTGTCGACTGCTAACAGGAGTGAAGGGATCATTTCGAATAGCTTTAGGCTGCCTAATTTGGCAGCCATTTGTAAAGTTGGAAGCGCTTCCGAATCGCGCATCTGCTACGATCCTGACGTAGGTCATCATCCGGGCGCTTGGGGTCCGCGTGCCGCAGTGTTGTGTATTCAGGATTGTGGCGGGGAGGTTGGCTGGGTGGGGAGTGCACGAACATTTTTTGCAATTTTCCTCTTGCAAGCAAGAATGAATATCCGTAGTTCGCTAGTTAACGAATGAAGAAGTGTATTTGTCATACGGGTATTTCGCACATTTTGTTGGATGGTACTTCCGTTGTGATATCTGCCCCCGGCCGGGCCAGCTTGCAAAAAAAAAACGATCCACTCTGCCGGATGCGTACGCGATATCGGTGCGCTAAACGTCGTGCTAGGGTGGATAAACTCAAGCTGATCAGTGTGCCACATTTCCAACTATTTTTGCATGAGAAATGATTTCAGAGTATTTTTGCGTGAGATTTCCTCTGTGACTGCATAATACCTGGAACATTGGCTTTCTTGAAACTGAAATTGGCGGTAACAGTGCACTTAACATTCAGTGCTTGCATTTATGATATGCATGCTCTGAAATTGCTAGTGTGATGGCTCTGCCATGCAAGACATGTTTAGAGTAACATGCATTTTTTGCGGTCTCAGGGTGACATTGGTATCCTGTCAGTCTTTTTAGGGAATGTTAAGTGGAGAAATCTAACCAATATAACTGATACCAAAAAAATCACCCAACTGGTCCAAAAATCTGGTTCCTTGCAGATTCAGGTTATTTTACATTAACCCTCAGGTAGAAATTGAAAAAAAATACTTAGCCAGTTTTCTGTGATATATTATGGATGCAGCGAGGCAAGAACATCGGAGAGCGTAGAATCAGGAATATCTCATCAGCAGGGTTAAAAATTGTCTCACATTGGAGTATCTCTTCTTCCCACCCCCTCTCAGTTTACAATTGAAACCTAAAATGATGGCACTTCTTCAGTTTGAGGGCCCAGATATCTTCTCCTCCACTTGACGAAATGAGAAATTAGCTTTGGTTCAGCTTTGTGCCAGTGTTTCAATGGGTGTGAAAGATATAATATAATTATAGCATAGTTCTAGTGCATGTCACTTGGTTGATGTAATTATAACTGGGTTGTCTTAATGCATCTTATCTGAACAGGCTGCTCTCATTTTGTAAAACATAATTGCTGATTTTAAATGTTGTTTGTTTTATTAGTTAATAGTTCAGTGTTATAACAAAACTTATGGTTGTACAAGCAAACAAAATATACTATTTAACAAGGAACAATATTGTGTATATCAGAGCTCACTCCATATTCCATGCAAATTTTGACAGTAATATATGGTAGAAATGTGATGATTAGATGCCTCAAAATTGCATGCAGCCTTTGCTGCCACTTTTCAAGCCCATCCATTCTTCCATTCTTTTCAAGTACTTCTTTTCATTCTAAATCTATATTCATCAGACATCCTTGCATTCAAAGCAGTTTGAACCATAGCCTCATGGAATGACTTGTCATTCAAAGACATTGGGTCATTCTCACACTGACTGTGTGCTTGTGTCTAAATAATGTTTTGCCCAGCAGCCCCTTGTCCCCTCTCCCCCCCCCCCCCCCCCACCCCCACCTCTTATCAGAGTGCACAGGGAATTTTTCTGTGTAAGTAAATATGTAGGGCACCACAGTTGTGTCCATTTCATAGCAGGCTGGTTAAGTGAATGGCCATATATTTGTGCATACACAGCTTTAGGCATGATCGGTGGTCACCTTTTTCTGAAGCAATAGCGTGAACGATTTCAGGTTACCGTGATGGTCAAATTTCATTGTTGCATGCATGTAATGTAGGACACTGTCATACACATGTCTTGATTAACATGAGGATGTCTTTCAGGAGCAAGTTCTTCTAGGAACATCTACGGAGCATCATGTCAAACACTGTCAAAATGAAGCTGATGGAGCTTGCTGGAAGTGCAGAGTCACATAAGGACTTGGTCATCAGGTGAGTTGGCCGTACCGGCCTAACCGATGTGTCTGTAACTGATTATAGGTATGTCTGACATGACAAATAAATTCGATCTCACGCCACACTCAACGCACACGGAGGCGCAGATAAGGGTCGGAGGGGGGGGGGGGCATCGGTGAAAAATTACACTGAGAGTTTGTACAAAGGAAAAATTATCTTAAGTCATTTGGCACTGCTCGAAAGAGTCGCGTCAAATCTACGTAGCCTTCCAACGCCGTCGAGTTTCCGTCCGCTGTCGCTCCACTCCTGGAGCCGACCTCCGCCGGCGCCGTCCGCAGATACTCGGAGCTGCTGGATGCGCTGTTCGCGGCGCCCGAGCGCGACATGCTGGAAGGCCTGCGCCTGTTCGTGCGCCACATCGTCAACGAGAACGTCAGCCTGGTGATCTCGCGCCAGCTGCTGAGCGAGGTGTCGGCGCACATGACGCGCCTGCCCGACCCCACCTCGCAGCAGGTGGCGCTGTTCGTGCTGGAGACGGTGCAGCCGCGGGCCATCTCGTTCGAGGAGCAGGTGAGCGGGCCGTCCTACGCCGGCGGCCGCGAGCGTGGCGTTCTGTGCCAAGGCTGCTGTGTTGCGCGTGCTTTTTAGGATTCAGCTCGAACCTTTTAAGTGGATGGGTTGCTGGAATCAGAGCCCACCCTAAGCAGGGCTTCCTGTGAGGAACCCGCCTCACCATTTCATCATAGAATGCCAGGTCAACAACAGAATTTTACGGCGAAGGTTTGACGTGCCATGATACTGGGCGCGGTCTGCGCCGCCGCCTGGCGTCACCGGCCCAGTCAGGGGCGGGCAGCGCGTGTATGAAGTGATCTTGACCCACCCTGCCACGGCTGGGTACATCCGAAGGCAGGCGCTCTATGCAGTTGGGTTACTGAGACGGACGTAATCAACCCGTGCGATAGCGGCGTGAAGGCGGCGAATTAGACCCGTTTTTTTTGCTTCCTTGTCTTTGCATATATTTGTCAAGGATATTAGACATTGTGCGAGATATCATTACAGCGATGGCGGTGAGGCGTTCAGGCTAATATCATGGTATTGACACTGAAGGCTTCATTCAGTACAACGGGTACGGGTGCTTCATTCTGCGTGGGTACTCTACACACAAATGACTGTCCCGTGCCTATCCACTACTTCGATTGGTTGGTTCTACTGAACAACTTCCGAGTTGCATGTATAGTGTTACAGCATGTTTCTGTTCATTGGTATGGCATCCTCCCATTCTGCAAGCCTGCGATATTTCTGCAACGTTTTGGCGTTGGGACGGGCCTTGTTTGAAACAAGTTGCGACATTTCTGCGCAGCGGTGAAGCTTTTCCCCGGATATTGCGCACGCGTACTCGGTGCGTTACTTAACACTACGACGAACGCCGCAGTCGCATCACGGCCTCTTCCACTCAACCGCCAGCGTCGAGCCGGACCTGCTCCGCCGCCGTTTCCCCCGTCCGGTTAGCGCGCAGTCGGCGCGCTTCCCCGGCGCCGCGCCCACACCAGCTCGGCGACGAAGACGAGCGTGGCCAGCGTCCAGCCGGCGGCCAGGTAGCCGCCGAGCTCGTGCAGCTGCGCCAGCCGCAGCGGGCGGCGCCGACCGTCGTCGCCGGGCCGGCTGCGGTGGGCGGCGAGGCCCACACGCCGGTTCTCGTGCTCCGTGAGCCTCGTGAGCCAGAGCCGCAGCAGGCCGGCCGCGTGCAGCCGCAGCACCAGCCGACTCATGGCCGACCGGAGCGGCGTGTGGTGCTGCACACACATCGAGCTATAAAAGGTGAACGGCGGCCGCGAGCCCACGTACAGCTCGGCCACGTCGGCGCCAGGCGACGGCTTGCGCACCAGCCGGCGCATCAGCTGCTGCGTCTCCAGCTCAGTGGCGATCAGCGCCAGCCGCTCGTCGGTGCTGAGCAGGCGGCGCAGTGTGGCCTCCGGGTCGCCGAGGCGCATGCGCCGCCGCGCCGCCGCCGCCACGCCCCTGCGCCGTCGCAGCTGCCGCGGCAGCGGCCAGAACTCGGCGTTGCGGTCGATGACGATGGCGTAGTCGGCGTGTACGAGGTCGGGCACCGAGTCGGGCGCCCAGGCGGCGGGGGGCGCGGCGAGCGCGCTCTGCAGCGCCGCGTGCAGCACCGTCTGATAGACGATGGTGGCGTAGAGCCACACGGCTAGCAGCGGTCGCAGCCCATGCTGGCCCAGCAGCCGGCTGTAGGAGACGCCCAAGAGCGAGCCGACCAGCATCAGCAGCGGTGGCGGCGGCGGCGGCGGCGACGGCGACCGGCTGCGCGGCGCGAGCAGCCGGCAGAGCGCGGCCACCAGGAGAAGTGAGCCGAGCAGCAGCGGCCACACGGCCGTCTGCAGGCTGCCGAACAGCGAGACGGCGCCGAGGTCGCGCCGCAGCCGCGTCAGCACGAAGCTCGTGTCGCGGTACACCTCGCCCAGATTGTCGACGGCCGCGAACCGCTCGGGCAGCATGAACACGGCGGCAGTGGTGAGGTCGAAGGTGCCTCTCCATACCTCGCCGACCAGGCCCGTCCAGCGGCCGTCGCGCCAGCTGCCCCAGTCGCCGTCCGGCGACAGCTCCATGTGCACGGAGACGTTCAGCAGCCGCTCCAGCAGCGGCACCAGCTCGCTGTCCAGCGACGGCGGCGGCGGTCGCGCGCACGTGCCGTTCGCTTGGGACGGCGCCCGGCAGGCGTTGATCGGCCGGTACGGCTGGACGCCCATGCGGAAGAGCCGGCCGTGGAGGCTGTGCCGGTCGAGCAGCGGCGTGCCGGCCAGGCCGGCCGTCGCCGCCGAGAGCACGGCCTCGCGCACGACGCCGTCGTAGCCGCGCTGCTGGACGCGGGCGGCGGTGCGGCCCAGCGCGGAGCCGCACAGCGCTAGGCTCGTCTTGGCGAGCGGCGGCCGCCGCAGGGCGTCTGCGCAGGAGGCGTCGGCTCGCGGCCACAGCATCACCTGGGCGTTGGACCAGTGGCGCACCGCCTCGGCTGGGATCAGGCCCAGAAAGGCGATGTCACCCGTGATAACGAGAAGCTCCTCGGGGCCCTCGAACAAGACGTCGAAGAGCTGCTGGGCCGTGCAGCGACAGCAGTCGGTAACCCGCGCGCCGGTGGCCCACGCCTGCTCCAGGAGGCCGCCCAGCTCATCGTGGTGCATGCCGCAGTGCAGCACGTGCAGCTGGTCGTGCGAGAGGAGCCCGCCTTCGCGCAGCTTCAGGACGAGGCCGGTGAGCCCGAAGGTGCTGACGTCGTCGGGGACGAGGTCGGTCAGGGGCGCCGCCGAGGCTTCCGGGCAGCCGCGGCCGCACGCTCCGAGCAGAGTCAGCGTCAGCAGGACGCCGGCGCGGGACGCCCGTCCCATCCTGTCGCGTGCGACGGGGGCTGCGATGTCCAACTTGGGAGGGAGGCGCCTCACTGTAATGTGTTTCGGCACGGTAGCTGCCGGGGCAGTGGCAGGGAATCGACCGACGCAAAGGTGTGATGGTTCGCTGCGCTAAAAGCCACGGTTGTTTGTGTCGTTTGGTTCAATTGTCATAAGTTTTCTGAAGCCGTGTATTGCGATTCGTATTAGATATACGACGTTGCCGGTCTACAAAACGGATATTGGCTGGAGCGGCGTGCTAATGGCAATCATTAGTGTCGCGTACATAAATCATGTGTAGCTGCCACAGAACTCTGGGAGTTGTCCGGAGCCTCCTGGAGGGCTATGAGTTATGTATTTATAGATTTTGTTATCGCTCGGCCAACTTTTCCTTCGGTCGCTTAGAAACCAAGGCACTGCAATGTGTGCAATCATTGATTCGGCGTCTATCAAGACAATTGTGCGTTTGAGGGGCACCATAGCAATGTTTGACAGTGTTCATTGTGAAGGTTGCGACCGTGGCTAAGTGCTCGGAGCAAACCGATAGTCTCATTCAGCGACCAGCTAGCAGGAGACAGACTGGTTTGTTGACGGTGTGCGGGCAGTGAGCGCGGTCCACTAATGATCGCCATGGTCGACCGTTGAAGCCCGCCGGTCCGTATGGCAATGGGTCATGGGCCGTGTCGCCACCGTTGTCTCCCGCTGGTGTACCTGATGCGGCCGTTGGCACTCCTGGTGTCTGGCAACGCTGCTCCTTCCTCTCGGCAGCCCTCCGACACCCCTCCGCTGTCCCGCAGCTGGCTACGGTGCTGGGTGTATGAGCGACGGCAGCGGTGGTGTAGCACCCCTTTGACACCCTGCTCTGCCCCGCAGCTGGCCACGGTGTAAGTTGTACGAGCGGCAGCAGCGCTGGTGTACACCCCTCTGACACCCCTGTCCTGCCCCGCAGCTGGCCACGGTACGACAGCACCTGGCCGGGGTGTACGAGCGGCAGCAGCGGTGGCGCGAGGCGGCCAGCGTGCTGACGGCCATCCCGCTGGAGACGGGCCAGAAGCAGTACTCGTCCGAGTACCGGCTGCAGACCTACATCAAGATCGCGCGCCTCTGCCTGGAGGAGGACGACCCGGACATGGCCGAGACCTACATCACGCGCGCCTCCGTACTGCAGGTGCGGCTCGCCGGCCTCGGCCGGCTGACCGGCCGCCAGGCCGGGCCGTGCAGACCAGAGACGGAACGGCGCGCTCAGAGCCGTGCACGTAGTGCTGGGTGCCGACGCCGGTCTGCGCGTAAAGGAATGTTTTGGGATGGATTGTGAAATTATTACCTGTCACCTGCCATGATAGGTGTGTGGAAATTCCGACCTTTGTGGGCTAGTGTGATGATCCCGTGAGTGTGGAGTGGTTGGGCCCTTGAAGGGAATTGTTGGTGGTAACGCTTTATTTTGATAGTATTTTCAGGGTGATTGTAAAACTATAGCTGTATCTTAGCGTTATTCTGAGGTTTGTTGAAATTACATGTACTTACGAAGAATGTTCATTTTTGTTTACGTTGTGAGTTGTTATGCCGAAAATAGTAGATATTGATTATACCAGGTTATACTGGTAATAGCTGGCAATCACATCGGTAAACCGGCACTTTCTGGTGTGCTAGCGCCAGCTATTTTCATAACAAGGGATCATAACGTTAACTGAAGCTGTGAAATACAGTGGCAGTGATGTCACGCCGTTTCTCCCGCTGGAGAACGTTCGGGAAAGCGCTCGTCCTACGGTGTTGGAATCGGAGCGTGATAGTTGTCTGCCATCTCATCTGTGGAATCGGAGCGTGATAGTTGTCGGCCATTTCCTTTGTCCTCCCTGCTCAATTCTGTGGTTGGCTGGTGGCCTAAGCCTGTCGATCATGTGGCCCGTAGAAGAGATCTGGTCGGCTGGTGTGGTGGTTGGTTGACGTGCGGCTGCGTCAGCGGTAGGTCTGTTCCTGAACGATCCGCTGGATGGTGTTAGGGCTCGTGAATTGAGCGGTCGTGCAGACACTGTGTTATCGGCCGGTTTGATTCTGTGATGGTTCAAATACTTATCTATCTATCTAACACAATACTATCTGACATGGCCGGATGTAAAGACCGACGATCGTAACAACTGAGAGATCGTTTAAATTTGTGCATATTTGAATGAGCGTGGGTAGCACGCACGCCTATGCCGTGCCTAGGATTCAGTGTCCGCGAGATGCGGTCGCATACGGCCGGCCCACGCATCACAGACCGGCATCATTTCGGCGAGTGAGCTCCACCGCAGCGACTCGTCCGTCTGTGCGTGCAGGCAGAGAGCAAGGACGAGGAGCTGGTCGTGCTGTACAAAGTGTGCTACGCGCGCGTGCTCGACTACCGGCGCAAGTTCCTGGAAGCGGCCCAGCGCTACATCGAGCTCTCGTACCGCTCCATCGTCGAGCACGGCGAGCGCATGACGGCGCTCAACAACGCCGTCATCTGCACCATCCTGGCGTCGGCCGGTCGCATCCGGTCTCGTGTGCTGGCCACGCTGTTCAAGGTGTGCGCTGCGGCTCGGACGGGGGAGTTGGCGGCAGGACGGGGCGGGGCAGCCGACGGCGGCGGTGGAACGGTGCGGAAAGAAGCCGCGGCGGTGAAGCGTTGGTGACGAGGTACCAGGAGTACTCGCTCCGGGAACTGCCGCTGGGTTGTTATGATAAAGTGGATTTGTCTCGTCCGGAAGTGATAGGGCGTTGTCTCCGCCATTTCCCACTATTTTCTGGCCCGCCCCGCGCCGCGTGAGCTGTCATAGCAAGGAAAATGGTAACCCGTCATTCGGAACAGGAACCTACCCTAAGCTTGGCGCGCCTCTGCTTGAACGTTTTGTCTGGCCGGTCGTGTTTGGAACTTTGTAGAAAGTAAAACAAAATGCGAGGGGCTTTCGGAGCGTTGGTGTCTTCTCTTGGTGCTTTCATTTTCCTTTTCTCGGTATCTCCGCCCCCGTATGCCTTCCGTTTGCACGCATCATGCGATCTCCCGCGGGCAGTGCCGTCCCCCAGCCCTGACGACCGCCGCCTGTGCCGCCAGGACGAGCGCTGCCAGTCGCTGCCGGCCTTCACTATCCTGGAGAAGATGTACCTGGACCGGATCATCCGCAAGCCGGAGCTGAAGGAGCTCGAGTCGCTGCTGCAGAGCCACCAGAAGGCCACCACCGCCGACGGCTCGACGCTGCTCGATCGTGCCGTCGTCGAGCACAACATCCTCTCCGCCTCCAAGATCTACAGCAACATCTCGTTCGCGTCGCTGGCGGCGCTGCTGGAGGTGTCGCCGCGCGCCGCCGAGAAGGCCGCCGCGCAGATGCTCTCGGAGGAGCGGATGGCCGGCCGGATCGACCAGATCGACGGCGTGCTGCACTTCCAGCAGGGCGAGCTGCTGGCCGACTGGGACCACCAGATCCAGGGCCTGTGCGGCCAGGTGAACGGACTGGTGGACAAGATCGCTAGCGTGTCCCCGGAGTGGACGGCCGGCGCGCTGGAGCAGACCAACTGACGCCGGTCTCGAGGTGGCGCGCAACGGCCCCGCTGAGGCGGCGGACTGTCGCTCGTCCCGCCCCGGGCGGCGCCAGCCGAGCGACCGACGAGTCCGACGCCCCGCCCGCCGCCGGCTCGTCCCTCACCCGGGGCGTCTGTGGGGGCGTGCCCCCGCTGGTGCGTGGCGTCCCGTGAGGCTGAGACACTGGGTGTCATCCGCCCTCCGCGCCCCGCGAGCGCTGGCGGGGCCGGGCGACTGTCGCGCCCTCTGGCCGCCGGGCGGCGCTAGTGTTGTGTGCCGCCGGCGGCCGTGGCCCGGAAGCAGGGCCGTGCTGGTTACTCTGGCTCCAGGGCCGACCGAGATGACGGCCGTGCCAAAGCCAGAGCTCGCAGCTGGGGCTCCTAGTCGGAGCGCAGAGCCCGCTGGTCCGGTCGTGAGCTCTGCCGGTCGGTCACTCTCCCCACGTACCTATGCGTACCAATAAACTGTGATGCCTTGTGGTGAGCTCTTGTGACTATGGTACCGATCGCCGCCGGGGCCGCGTGCCGCCACGTCCGCGGCGCATACCCGGAACTCCGCCACTGTCGTCCTCCGTCGTGTTGTGAACTTGACCGGCGTCCCCGCATGGGGCAGAGCGGGTCCGAGCGGGTCCGTTGAATCCCGCCACAAGCGTGCGCTGGACCTCGGGCAGCATCCAGCCTGAGCGTGGAGTGGCGCTGTGTCACATATGACAGCCGCTGACAGATGGCGTACATGGGTAGGAACACAGGATATCGTGTGGGAAGGCTTTTGCTCGATTCCAGATTGGTAAAGTTGACTGGCTGGGTCACATGCAAAGGTGAGTCCATCCGACTCTGATTCCAGCCAACGTACGGGTTGAGGTCGGCTTAACACCCGACTCGAACTGCGTAAAGATAAATCGATTCTACTTTGACTGCGACTCAGGCCGATCTCGTCCCGTTTCAGAGCCCAATCCGGGCAGTTGACAACCTCATGATTTAAAAATTATGATGCATAGTTAACGCGCCCGAGTGACCGGTTGGATACCCTTCGCTCGGATGGGGGGTCACATTGACGCCCTGAGATCCCAGGAATTAAGAAAGCTAGAGACACCAAATGCGCAGGGTGTGTTGACCTGTACATGAACTCGCGTCAAAGTTTGAGGTTCCTAGGTCATGACCTTCGGGTGGGATAGGGTGAGACAAAGCCAAAGTCCGGGTTGGTCGCAAAAGGGCCGCTGGAACCTAGATAGCTGTTCTAAGCAAAAGGTCACATGCTCATCTAAGGTCAGTGACCTTTTTGACCTTTTGAAGGGCATGGTGATCAAAATCATACAAGAGCGCTTTGAGTTTTGCATTTGGATAAGCGACAAATATTACGATAGGCAGTATGTTCCTGAAAACGAAACGTTGACCTTGGTCATTCTAGGTCAGCGACCTGTTCTGACCTTTAAGGAGTCTATGGAACATAGACCTTTTAAATATAATGTGGTTACAATACGGTTAGATAAAATGCGGTGTATAATGCAGTTCCTGCTTTAATAAATTCAAAATGTGCATCAGGAGCCACCCTACCATACAGCAAGCCCCAGAGTAATAAAACAGGGTGGTTTTAACCTTGCTCTGACCTTTGCACCTGACCTTGGGTTAATGTAAATTGCTCATTCCGTTGTTATGTTGCCTAAGAAAGCATCTCAGGGATGTATGACTTCGTCAAACACTCCGTTGTTGGATCAGATTGAAGAATTCTCCATAAATTGCATTTGCTGAAACCATGGCATAGCTTTGACCTGCAATAGGTCAGCGACCCTTCAAGATGCATCTAAATTTTTAATGCCGGACGATCCGTTGTTCAATTGTCTACAGCTATGCAAAATTTGGCGCGACCACGCCGCGCTGTTCGGAAACCATTCCGGAAGAACCTCCGGGGGGGCCAATTTGACATCTCCACCCGAGCGCGTGTTAACTACCTTCATTATACCAAAAGGTGCTACACAAACATACTCAAAAAAAGATACTCAATAAAAAATACATCCGTCTCGAAATGGTCCCCGTAGTCAGTAAGGCGTAAAGGCCCAATTACTATTACCATTATCACACCGGTAATCATCACGCATAATCTCAATCACCATCAGCATGAGTGATACATGCTTGTACAAGTTATTGGACAGCGAGAACTGAACGCTGCACTCGTGTTATTACCAGCCACGAGTCACATGTCGGTCACCCCATGGCAATGGCCACATAAACTGTGACTCGAGTCCACTCCGCTCTGGCCGGGCGCGATATTTGACTCACCTTGGAAGGACGACAGCAGTCCGTTAGAAAGATATCTGCTCAACCACGGCCATATTTTGCCTGACTGGAACTTACATTGCATAAATTTCCGTCTATACCAACGCAGGAAAAGTATCTTAATGTAATAGTGCGCAATAGCCTCTTAGTGTAATAACCCGTCACAAACTTTCTCGTCCCGCCATGCGCTGGAGTCGCCTCGTCCCGTTTTACAGACGCCTTGCCACACAGAAAGCTCGCTGCGGACGCAGCGGTATCCGGCACGATATCACCCTCTGTACAGGATATGTGTCAGCGGCGGGGATGGCCCGAAAGGCCGGAGCATTATCCCATGGCCTTGCATTTGTCCTGTAACTATGAATCGCTTTCAGGTCATGAGCTGTAATTCAACCAAGTCAATTTTGGACTGATTTAAAACAACTTTTACTTGGATTTGATATGATCTCTGAACTGCTCACCAGCGCACAGACTGGTAATTCGCTTTCTCTCCGGGCCAGCACACATTGTCTACGTTCGATGCACGTAAACTGAGCAATGACATGGTAAAACGGCATGCGCTGGAAGGGCTTTTTCACGCGGCACCTAGCAGTGAGAGCAAACATAGGGGTTCGCCGAGTAGACTACAGGCGTCTTCCTGCTCCTGACCAACTCCAGATAAAGCTTGAACTCGCACTTGCTTGGCCTCTTGGTCTGTCTGCAAGCAGCGTCGATGTATGCATCCACTTCCGGGGCGCGGCCTGCTTTTCTGCAGTGTGGGGGTAACTGGAATTTGGTGAGAGCACGCCACGTCGATTTTGAACTTTCTGCCGTGAGCCATTTATGGTATAAGCGAAAGAACTGAACCAATGCGGGCTTGGGCTCGCCGGGTAACGCTACCTTTAGGTGTGGTTGCAAATCATCCCTGATTTTTAAACGCGTTATACCCTTAAAACTGGATGCTGCTGGTTTTCTCTCATGATTAGCAAAACGGTCGCTTCTGTTCGCTCTGTTAGATCAATCAGGAACCAAGCGGAACTTTTTGGGACGTTACGCTTAAGGACGTTACTAGAGAGAAAAAGGTTAAAAATTTCCACAAATTGGGTGTCGTAAACTATGGATGGTATTACGGGCCGAACGAACAATGTCCATGGCATTTCCATGATCACGATATGTTCAGTGTTAATGTTCAACAGAAAAGTGAGTGGGTGTGGTCAGACGGACGGTTTCCTTAACATAATTGCGGTTTCTCTAAGCGCAAATGTTACCGGAACATCCTGATCACCATCCAGCTCGTACACACCAGGATGTGGTCTCCATGGAAAATCTCACCAGGACGAGGTCTGAGGGTCTCTTGACCGTCACGTGAAGCTTAATTACGCCAGATCCCTCCGAAGATCCCGCCCCAAGGTCATTCCAGTCGGTTCTTCTACCCATTATGAGCTCCGGCGACCGTTCGCTGTCATATAACAATAAGAAGCTATCTCCGACCTAGGACGGGCAAGGCGATGACGGCCATGCGCGTTTGGCGTAATGTTGTCGTGATCAATCATATCATGTCACTGAACTACAGTGTACAACATGAATCTGTCGCTTTCAGTAACATGAATCTGTCGCTTTCAGTAACATGAATGTGTCCCTTTCTCCAGGGGGGAGGGCTGGTCTCGCTCGCCTCTTGGAAAATTGCCACGAATTCCCTCGCATATTGCAAGAGCTAGGTGTACAAAATGCGATACATTCAGATGGGGAAAAGTCCAGGCTTGGATATGTTTCAAAGCGCAGGCAATCTGTTTATCTGATTCTTAGTTATACGTCAGTTATACGAACTATTGCAACAAGTCCCAAAGTTCAACTCATGTTACGGACAACGAAAAGCACGGGAGATAGACACAGCGATGCATTCGTACGGCCAAATTAGGCAGAATGCTTTCACACAGTACCATCACATATTTTGTCCTCATAGTATGTTATTTACGTTTGGTTGACTGCACCCTCAACTTGATGATAACAATTCCACCGCACTCGCCTTCAACTTTATTCAGCTTGCTCTGCTGCCTGGTCTGCTGCTCGCTTCGAACAAAAAGCTTATGAAAAAGACATAAACCAGTTATTTCCACGTTCTGCTCAATGACTACCATCAATGATTTAGATGTGCCAACGGCGCCTCTGCGCTCACGCATGCCTGCCGCTGGGGGTGACGCAAATCTCTTAGCGTGCTCTGTTCCTGCATGACCCCTGTGGCTTAGCCCGTTCTGATCTGCAGTTCCCAACGTTGTGTAGTCCATGTCGTTCTAACTATGTCTTAAACAACCCGTCATTGAAAATCGAATAATTGCCGCGAGCCTTGTTTCTGGAGATACTTTCTCAGGCGGCAGCGCATCAAGCACTGCACAAAAATTACTTCGTCGCGACCGCGCATAACAGATACTCATTGGGCGGAAAGATGCGTAATTTAGCGCGGCCTGTTACCGCAGCGACGTAATCATTACGCCCAATCCAAGCTATCAGAGGCCTTGAAGCGGTGCTCGTCTCCCCACCATAGTCCAGTAGTGCGGGCGGCGGCGGCGGCCGGACCGTTTCCGGCGCGGCGTCGCCCCCGCCCCGGTGGCGGCACCTGTCGGACCCCGAGTCGGCGGCCGAGCGGGTCCGGCCGGCGGCGGTTCCCACCGCGCCATCCCCGGCCGCCGGAACCGCCCCGGGCGGGAGCGAGCGGGCCGAGCCGGCGGCGAGACGGACGCGGAGGGGAGACGGACCGCGATCTGTCGAGCGGGCCCCGGCCGCTCCGCCTGTCGCGCCGGCACCGTGCACCGACCGCCAGACCGCGACTGGGCCGACGGCACGGCTTCAGGGGCGGCGCTTAAAGGAGGCGAGACGCGCACGGTGTCTTCGTTGTCTAACAAAGACAACCATACATTGTGTTTAACATAGAAGTAACGATCACTTCTCCGGTGGCGTGACTGCACGCACCATCATGCAAGCTGTATTTGACCGCACGCAGTTTAAAAACCAACAGGTAGCAGGGGTGCAGATGTAACGAGTCTGCGTCACTGTTCAGCGAATTTAAGGCGGCGTGCGTGTCAGTCGATGCTTCGGAACGTGCACTTCGCAAGAAATATTTGCAAGCAATACTGATGCGCACCGGATCCCCCGCAATATTAACCAACAGTTCGCCGAGCTCTTTCACCAAAAGTTGCGTAGAATAGACTAATGCAAAGCAGTTGTGCCCC